CAAACTCGTTGCAGGATGACTGCTTTAACAACTCTCTTTCTATGTAAGTGTGTATGTAAATAGCTCTGTAAATCAGAACTCCATCATTACTTGGTAATACTTGATAGGGAAGAATTCAATTGCTCTTGAGATTCATTTGCGTTATCACAAAAAAAATAACATCACACATGTCAATTACAGAACAAGAGCTAGACTTTAGATATAATTTTCAATTATCACGTTTTTAAAAATAGCTTATAATTATTTTATCACTTAGGTAAACAATGTTTCTTGTCCATGGTGACCACAAGTTGGAGAACTCATCATTTAAATATCTTGATCAAGAACACATATATCCATATCAAGCATACGCCTTGATATTGAATATTTCTGTGAAGTTTCACATTAAGAAACTTAGCAGTGTATTTGGTATTTTACACACAATTAATTAAAAATGTTCCCAATTCTTTGATTTTACTGATCTTTGTTCTTGTTATTTCATATAAAGAAAATATAATATAGTGTTCTAAGCTTCAATAAATACTCTCCAGTTTAGTGCCAGGAAATATTCATTTTCTGTGTGCACCATAATATAAAATAGGGAAGGGTTGGAATGAAATAGAATGAGTCATTTTGCAATATACACAATATTACATCTACAAGATTTCTTAGTAAATTTAAGAAAATTTTTACTTGCTACTCTAACACTCTAATCAGGATAAAGCTTTGACTCGTCTTTTTTTTAATACTTAGGTATCAGATTTTACATGAACTAAGATCACCATTATTCCCTCTTCTAAAAATCCTAGAAGAAATAATTTTCAGATCATAAATGGCCTCCCTTTCTATGCTGCCGAATCTTGAGAGATCTCCTCTGTCAAGTCAGCACTGAAAACCTCACCCTGACCCCTTTCTCCTCGGATGGCGTCTCCTGTTTTGGGCTTGGGTTTGTCATCTATCAGTTTCTCTTTCAACATGTTAATTATGATCTCTTGTAAGCAACTTGAGGTTTCTGTTTAGCTTCTTTATATCCCCCCCACTGTTCTGGGCACATATTAAAATAGTGATTACCACTAATTGCTAAAATGCTGTTGGGAGGTCAAATATTAAAAATGGACTGTGAGGCATTCCTCGTGGCACAGGGGTTAACGTCTCAGCACTATCAAGCTATCCCCAGCCACTGAAGCATGAGTTCAATCCCAGGCCAGGGAGCTAATCCACATACCTCAGCAGACCTCTCCTGTCTCCCTGCTCCTCCCCTTGGCAGTGTATTTCAGTGGATCTGCCTGCTCTGCTTCCCACTGTCACTGGTGAATCCTCTCACCCCACACACCTCTGGCCTTTACACCAGCTCTTGTATGTACAAATAAAATAAGATTAATCTTTAAAAGAAAATGGATGTACTGGGCCATACCTGGTGGTGTAACAGGTTAAAGTACAGCATTATGATGCTAGTAGCATCCACTTCACGAGTTGATCCCCTGCCAGGGATGTGTCCCACCTGGCACGGCAGACCTCTCCTGACCTGCACACTGCTCCCCTCAGCAGTGTATTTCCTCCATCTGCCTGTTCTGCTCCCCACTCTGTTTCTGGTGAATCCTCTCACCATCCCTGCACCTCTCTCTGGCCTGTACTCCAGTTCTGTATACATAAAGAAATTTTAAGGGGGAAAAAAAGATGTGGCCCACTTTTTTTTCCTGATTTTAAGAGTAATATGTATTTGTTCTTGAAAATATAAAAAATGAAGCATAAGGAAAACCCAAAATTACTCAATTCTATTCAGAAATGCCATTTCAACATGTTTAATCCTTTCCTTCCCATCTCAATGCATTATTTAGTCTACATTTCCTAAGAAATGTTTTTTAATCTCCGGAGAGATGGGTGTTTTTCTATTTACTATATTTAATTGTAAAGTTTATTCCATGTTAGTGTGCAAATTATGGTGCATTCAGATAATATTTACAATATGAAAATAATGTTTTAGAATAGTACTTCTTGAATTTTAATGAGCATAAAATCACCTGGGGTATTGTTAAACCCAAAAGTTTCATTCAGTAGCTCTGAGATGGGTCTTAAAGATTCTGTATTTCTATCAGCCTCCCAGATGATGACACTGGTCTGTGGACCAACTCTGAGTAACAGGGGCTTAGAAGACGAGTGTGTTTATATACACCATATACATAATTTTAATGATTAACTTTTAAAATAGCTTCTAGAGTTTGGTTCATATGCAGTGAAATATCACATCAATGAGTAGTCTAACATCTAACCATTAATACAAATGTTAATAAATTATAAAATAATTATCAAATGTATACTTTGTGTGCAAATAGGCACAAAGATGATTAAAAATCTAGCTACTGGTTAAGGTCAATAGGGAACAATATTTTTTTTTCCTACTAGTCTTTTTTTCTCTAAGATTTATTTATTTATTCATACAGAACTGGGATACAAGCCAGAGGTGCAGGAGCGGTGAGAGGCTTCACCAGAGACAGAGTGGGGAGCAGAACAGGAAGAATGATGAAGTACACTGCTGAGGGGAGCAGAGGGCGGGTCAGGAGAGGTCTGCCGTGCCATGTGGATCACATCCAGGATTGGGGATGGAACTCGCACTGAGGCAGCTTGCAGTGCTGCATCCTAACCTGTTGCACCACCAGTGCCGGCCAGAGAACAATATTTTTAAGGCTCACACAAACAAAGGGCATTCCACAGTGACAGAGAGCAGATCTGCAGTGACCAAAGGGCAAGGGGAAAGAAGGACACAAAGGGGGCGCAACTTTCAGGGCTAGTGACATATTCATTATCTTGACCCTGGTGTTGTTTCCACAGAAATGTAAATATTTATGAATTGCTAATATATATTTTTAAAATTCTCAGGTTGTATTCTTAAGTAGATGCAGTTTACTGATGTCAGTTACACTCGTGTGAAGCTAAGGGGTAGGGGAAGGCGACTAACCTACATTTCATCAGGAGTGTGTTCAAGTGTCCACCCCACTGCACCTCTGTCAGCACTGTAACTCTTAAAAAAAAATCTGCTAATCTGAAAGGCAAAAATATCTGTTTCAATGTGATTACTTGGATTATGATACTTTTTTCATGTGGATCAGCTATTTGCTCAATTTTCTACTGTAATGTTAGTTTGGTTCTTACAGGAACTCTTTATTTAAGTACTTACCATAAACAGAACATGTATTTTCCACTGCACTCAATTTTTACCTTTGTGTATACTTGAGGTAATCAGATGTAGGCATTTTTTTTTTTTAAATCAAGAACTTTAAAAAAGGCATTTAATCTTAACAGTACTCCAAAAAGAAACAGGTAAAAAGCTCAGTCAGGACACAGAATTAGACATTAAAAATTCCTATCATTTTCATTCACCTAATTTCTTTCAAAGTGGCTCACCAACATTACAACAAAAGCATATAGAGCAACAGCTCAAAATACTTGATGTAATAAAATGCTAGTTTATCTTTTCTCTTTCAAAAAAAGGGCACAGTGGTATTAAGCTACTTTTGTGATTTGGTCAAGTGAGGTCAGAATTTGTGTTTCTAATATTACACATTTGTTTATTTATTGACCTTCTCTCATTGTGTGACACATGGATCCATAAAATCAAATGGGTTGTGTTTGGCTTTCCTGACAGTCAATTTAATAAATGCCAGAAAAGGAGACTATCAGCAAATCTGGCTAGAGTGGGTAATAAAATTTTTACATTGAGATACAAATAAAATATAACACTAGTTATAGGTAGACATTATGACTCTATATACCACTAGTTAACTCTAGCTAAAACACTCATAAACACACACTTACAAATTCTGTGTGATGTAAACTTTTAATAACTACTCTTTTAAGAAACTTTCAAATATCTCATACATTAGCCATTTACTACGGCCACCATCCTGCCTGACAGCCCATAACTTGCCTTGTAATGGGGAGAGGGCACCTTTCGAGCACCCCCACCATTTATTTCCACTCCCAAGCCCCACTTCTGGCAACCACCAAGATGTTCTGTGTCTGAGCTGGGCTTTTTTAGATTTGACAGATAAATGAAATCTACAGCATTTGTCTTTCTTGAACTCACTTCACTTGAAATAATGCCCTCAGGGTACCACCCATGATGTTGCAAATGGGAGATCTCATTCTTTTTGTGGCTGAGTAATACTCCATCCTCTGTGCACATACAGATGTACACACACACATTTTCTTCATCTGTTCATCTATAGACAGACACTGTGTGGCTCCCATGTCCTGGTTATTATCAACAGTGCTGCAATGAACATGGGAGGTGTTTCCCAACACTCTTTTAGCTATTCCTATGAATGTTTATAGCTTCCATATATTTCAGGATTATCTACTAAACTTATATGGAAAAATGTCACTGGAATTTGGTAAGGATCACATTGCTTTGGATAGTATGGGCATTTTAAACAGTATTATTCCATGCATAAAGAGTATCTTTGTGTGTCTATTTTCTTTATGTCTTTTAGTATCATGTCCTTGGTTAAATTTATTCCTAGACATTTTAGCCTTTTTGATGTAATTGTATATAGGATTGTCTTTCTCTCCATAGTTCATTATTAGTATAAAGAAATGCAGTAGATTTTTGTAAAGTAGGTGGGAGGGTAGGAAGGAAAGGGGAGAAGGCATGACCTCAGTAGTGGCAAGAATCATGGGTGCCACAATCTATAAGTTTTAGTAAATTTGGGCTCCTTGTCAGGAATTGGCTCAATTACGTTCCTCTTAGTATGGTCCACAAACCACCTCCATCTAGAGTGCAGTTGCTAGGTGCTTGCTCTCACCCATTTTCACATGCTACCTCACTGATTTTTATACATTCCACATTTTGAGTTCCTGGTCAAACTGCTACATGGCCAATGCCTGAAAATATGACCAATGCCTGAGTCCCAGAAGTCTGGAAAGACAATAAATATGCAGAGTCCAAGAAAAAGGACTGCCCACACCAACTTACCTGCAGCCCGTCGCCAGTAACACTCCAACTGCCAAAGCATCACAGCTAATGAGAAGTAAAACCTGTAGCTCTTTAATTCATCAAATATCTGGGTACTACAGAGAATAGAAGTGGTTGGAAAGATGAAACTTCTGGAATATTACATTTCTTCTAATTTTAAAGTTAATTTTAGCAGTGAAGCAAAGTAACAGCTTTCTTAGGTGAGTAGTCAAGTGAATCTTACCAACTGAACTAAGTCTTTTTTAAAGTTATTTGTACAAGTGTATGTCTTCTAAGGTTGCTTTTTACTTTCACATGTGCTTTGCAAATTTGCGTCAACAGTAGGAGAGGTTTTAGATGAATAGATTTCAGTCTTCAAAAATGTGACTGCATCCTTCATCTCTAGCTTTTCCATCTCCCAATTATTGACCTGATCAAAGAAAGAAGAAAACAATCAGTGTGCAACAAGGTGACACAGAAAATAAAAGCTAGCTTTAAGATCCAAAATATGAAAGTGACATCAGACCAACTGCTTTTTTAAAAGCAAATGCTACATTATAATTACTCATATTTTAAAGGCTAAGTAAGATTATTTGTTATGGTTTGAAGCTCTAACAATGAAAATTTTAAAACTTTAGAGGTCTTCTAAAGGGCACAACAATTCTTTTTTTGAATAATCTCCCTTAGAAGTGCCTCAGACAACATGAAAAAAACTCTCAAGTGGCAGCTCATAAAACAAAGGGGCATCTGAATCCATTTTTGGATTTGAATGTATTTTACATATATGCAGAACCAAGTGAGTGGCATTTAGGTAGAGCCCAACATTAACACAAATATGACTTTATTTGTAAGTTGCCTGCTTTATATAAAATATCTGGAAAAGCTGTGTGCTTGGAGTCAAAGTGATATAAAGAGAAATGAGGATGAACCCTGCTTTCATAACCATCTTATTTCCAACGATAAAAATCCTAGAGCAGCTTCACACAGGCTGATGAAATCAAGACTTACATTAACAACTCTTCTTCCCTATTCAAGATAATCTGGAAATTAAATATGGTTTCATGTGCCTTGAATAAGAAAGTATATTATCTACATGTTTCCTCTTCACAAAAGTAACAAGTTCACCAAATATAACATCTACCAAGCCCCTAGTAAATGATCGAAATCAGCTGAGTAGAAGCCAAGTCATGTACTAGACGCAGTCTTTTTCAAATAATACATAAGCTAAAAAACTTATTCTTATACTGTTGACACTTCTTTAGAGTTCCTATAACTAATTTCAATCACAACATTCCTAGCAGATATCAGAAAGTGAAAACTGTTTAATTTGCATTGTTGTCTTACCAAGATCACACGAAAACCCATAACTTTCAAATGCCTCATTTTGAGAGCAAAGAATCCTCGGGGGTGGGTGGAATCCAAACAGTAGACAGATCTAGGAACACATAGTACAGCTACTCTGAAAATGAAAATACACAATACGAGACTAGTTACTAATGAGATTAGCATTTACAATCTTGCTATATCCCTCACCTATCTCTGAAGATGGCCAAATCCCTGATGAGGAATATTTTCAGATATGAAAACACCCATTCGAAGGCTTCCCGTGCAGTGCTAAATCTTAATCTAAATATAATTATCTATGCTACTCAAAGTATTGATGTGGTTATTGCTGAATAGTAAATGCGCTGGTACAGTCTCCCACAGGAGCAGCATTTAAAGTGCAGAATAAGGAGACCGGATATAATAAAGAAAGCTCTAAGAAGGGAAATACTGTCAAAAAGATAAAAATCTGTATGTGTAACATAAATGTAGACGGTGTAATTTATTTTTTCATTTTTCTTAGCCTTTTGCAAATTAAATTCATAGGGGGAAAATGTATACCCTGATTTTCTCAAACTCACTCTGCTTGTTATCTAAGATAATATAGCTTTACATTTTTTAAGGAATGCTCAAATTCCTCATTTTTCAGCACTTTGGGTTATTTTGCTGCTGTTATGCCAGAGCAGTGGAGCACCCGAGTAATAAGAGATCTTTCAACAAGGATGGACAGAAGCCTTCCTTGAGGGCAGCCGGGTAACACGTACAACAGGGAAGACAGCAGCTGAAAGGGAGCCAAGGAAACTAGATGGATCCGAGCCAAAAGTGAATGACGAGGGATGGGTGGACTGGAGTTTGAATTTCCAGATTTTTCTGTGCTTCTTGCCACAGTATTTGTGTGTGTTCAGCAAGGCATGGGGCGGTATGAGTTCCTTGGGTTCTAGACCCACATCTGACTCATCTTTTTGTCTCCCACAGGCCCGGTGGAGCCTCTGCACGCCAGCTGACGGAACATGGGGTGTGCAGGATATTAAGGGACCTGGTACATCTGCATAAAAGGCAGCTCATGCTCACAGGCAGCATCCACCCACCCTCGCCCTTGTTCCTCCTACCCCACCCTACTTGCAGTATGTGAGTTCAAAAAACAACATGTGATTATCAATACCCTCTGACATATATACAATAAAGCTGACTTAAAAACTAAAATTCCTCTACATTTGGAAAGGTCTTAGTGACAAAGCACAGCATTTACTGGGTATTTGATTTTTATATAAGCCTTTATGCTTTATGCTATTTTATTATCTTATCAAAAGCTTACACTGACAGTTTCCATTACTTAACACTTTTTAAAAAATCATTAACTGTCGGCCCTCCCTGGTGGTGCAGCGGGTTAAAGCACAGCACTAAGAAGCTAAAGCCACTTCTGCATGAGTTCGATTCCCGCCTGCCCGGGAGGAGATCCACATGGCGCAGCAGACCTCTCCTGGCCTGCCCGCTGCTCCCCTCAGCAGTGCACTTCATCTATCTGCCTGTTCTGCTCCCCACTCTGTCTCCGGGGAAGCCTCTTGCCGCCCCTGAGCCTCTGGCCTGTACCCCAGTTCGGTATGCACAAATAAATCTTTTTTAAAAAAAAATTATGAACTGTAAAAACCTAACTTGCCTATTTCATTAGATGGCTCAACTTGAGTGGACTGTCTTCAATCACAGTGCCCACACTCACACCGAAAAGTGATACACAGAGAACAGTCTTTTGATGCATATCAAACCCCATTCAAGTATAAGGTCTTAGTACTATCACTACCATTTAATATGAAGTCTCTGAGCACCAAGATTTCAAACTCAGATGATTCAACAAATGAATATATGTAAGCAACCTTTGGATATTTGCAGCAGAAGTGACCACATCCATGTCAGAAAATGAAAGCACTTGATTCTTGTTAGTGTCCATTCTGATTTCAAAATCTGAAAGAAAAGAATTTATATGAATCTCTCAAACACTGCTCACAGATTTTGTTTCAAAATGTATAATTCTACCATCTGAGACATGGGAAGCTTAGAATGGAAGCACTGACCGTACCATGTGCCAGCACTAATCTGAGTTTTGTCACTATAATTTCATGTTTGTCAAGGAACCTTCTGAGGTGGGTCTTTTATTAGTGCCCTCTCGTACAGATGAGGAAACGGGGCTGGTAGGCCTCTAAGTCACAGCACTAACCGCAGCAGCTCTGGCATCCAAGCACCAACAGTGCAGCTCCAAGCAGAAGCTGTACCACAGGAAACTGACTCTGGGAACTCCCGGTCTTCTTCCAGAACAAGAGGGGAAACAAATAAAAGCAAATCACATGAATTCCCGTACCAATGTGGTAACTGTGGGGAAGCTGGACATTCTGTGAGAAGTATCCTTCTCCCAGAAGGTGACTGAGCACACTGGCAACCTTCACATTGAGATGCAGGGGTGAGGCCAGCAGCTGTGGCAGTTCTAGGTCTACGGCTTTGAGATAAGGCACCTCGCCAAGTTTTAGACAATTATCCAATATACGAAGCATCCGAACATTCCTCTCCATGTCATCTAAAAAAAAGGAGGACACATCACTAAGGAAAAATGTTAATGTCACACTTAAGAAATCATGTTAATACAACTGTATTTCTGATTGGTTTTCAGGAGAAAGCTGTCTCCTTAGTTCCCACAGTGCTCAGATCTATGATCTACACCCTTGGTTTAAATTATCTTTTTTTTTTTTAATTTTTATTTATTTATACATATAGAAATGGAATACAAGCCAGAGGTGCAGGGGCAGTGAGCGGATTCACCAGAGACAGAATGGGGAGCAAAACAGGCAGATGGAGTGAAGTCCCCTGCTAAGGGGAGCAGCAGGCAGGTCAAGAGAGGCCTGCCACACCATGTGGATCACCTCCAGGGCCGGGATCGAACTCACACTGAAGCAGTTATGGTTACTTACAGTGCTGCGTCCCTACCCATTGAGCCACCAAGGAGGGACCTAAATTATCTTTTAAGGTGATTTAGTCTAAATTCTTCACTGCCCAGGAATGTTAGTGAAAAAACCTCATGATTAACTAGGCAGAGCCAGGACTGGAATTCAGGTCTGCTGGGTTCATTTTCCCCACACTAGCCTGTTTAAATCAGCATATGGTGTTCCTTCCTCACAGCTCCACTGAAAAATTTCATGACATTAAAAGAGTTTAAACAACTCTGTTCTCACATCATCAAATTTTTTGTCTAGCCTGATACTGTTTTTTCTTTTTTAATAATATAGAACAAAAGTCAATAATAAACCTGATTCCAAGAGTAAATAAATCACTTCTTTGGCAACTATTTGGTGTCCTCATCACACACCATGCTGAAAACGTTGCTATTATTCAGCTTCTAAGTGACATGGAAGCATCAGGAAACAAACATCTCCAAGCAAGGCAGAAAGAACAACTTAACAATTTGAAAACTTGCCCTCTGAATAGGTGGATAAACTGAAAATAAAAGAAACCATTGTTCTTGCATTCTACATATAGCACCCATCATTAAAGGCGTCTCCGCCCGTTTGCAGGTGTGAAGCACCAACTTTTGACTTCACCATTATCAGTCCTTCCCTTAGTGGCATTGACTCTGCATGCTGAAATAATGTGGTCCATCTAAGACCCCGTTCAAAATCACAAAGCAGCCTTATCTTGAGCACCACTGAGCAATGACGTCCTACCTGACATCAGTAGTTCCTTGATGATGTCCTTTTTGAGAAGTTGATTAATAGGAGCCAGGGGGAAATGATTCATTGCGCAAAATGAACACACAGCATTCAACAGGTTTTCAGAAGAGATGTGATGAAGATAACCAGTGAGAGCATTAGTCATAACTTCCAGGAACCTTCAGGGGGACAGAGAAAAGTGACTTTCTAATATAAATAGAAGACAAGATCATGGCAGAGCTAATAAGGTGCCACAGAATCAACAGCTTCATGCATACACCTCCCAGGTCACAAATCTCCTCATAATAAACAATATTTAGTAAAGGTTGCTTTGTATGTGTCTTGTGAAGGGTAATGTTTTACAGGCTTTCACTTATCTAATTCCTATTAAAACTCAATGAGGTAGATATTATCCTCATAATTAAGATGAACAAACAGGCTCAGAGGGGTTGAGAAATCTGTGCAAGAGCAGACAGCTAGAAAGTAGCAGAGCTGGCACTGGAGCCCAAGTTGTCAGACTCCAGAGCCTTTTAGCCACTGTTCTAGATTTCTGTCATGAGTATGCCTGTAAGGTAGGCAGCACTATTACAGTTTCATAATGGTAACATTCTCCAACTATCAATACTCGGAGTTAACAGAACCACGTGCCTAATTCTGCACCAAGAGCTACTGCTATCCAATTAAATATGGATGAAGAGAGGAAAATCAAATTACATGAAGTCACTTAGCCAGGTCGACAGTGCTGACAAAGGGCACAGCCTCTGAATCAGGTCAGTCTGACTTTAGGACACAGTTATCTATCACTGTTATAAGGGGGGAAATGAAGTACCTATAAAGCATTGTACAGTTCAGAGGAAAGAAAGTTGACAGAGCAGCTTTGAGGGTTAGAATTCCAAGAGGTGGACAAAAGGGGAGAAATGATCCTCTGAAGCAGAGAAGAGCATTGGAGTCCTGCAAGTGCAGGCTGTCGGGCGAGTGAGGTCACAGCACTGCCAGGACTGACAGCACCGGGCACGTGTGCCCTGACAGCAGTGGGCATGTGTGCCCTGAGTAAGCCTGATTAGCAAGAAGGCTGCAAAGAAACAGAAGATGCAGCACACTGGGAGGTACCACGGGTAGGAGCAGAGATGCAGCAAAGCTGTGGTAGCTTAGATAGTACTGTAGGAGGGACAGAAAGAATATAGCAGGTTTGAGCGAAAACAGTGACGCAGCACTTGCCAAATGGAAAGCTGACTGAATTTGGAGTAAGAAGCAACAAGAAAGGAGCAGGGCTGCAGATGACTAAGTCTGGAGTTTGGGTGATCATCTCCCCTTAGTCCTCTCCGCTCCCTCTCCAGTGCTGCACCTCACACTTCGGCATACCGACCAACACGTTCCGTGCACATGCTGCAGTTTTTGTCCCTCACTTGAGTCTAGACTCCCTTCTCAGAATGTTCCTTCCTGCTTGTCTTCCCTTTGGTAACTCCGATCTTTTTAAACCTGCTCAGGCATGATCTCCACAGCATCACCTGGCACCCACCCTGACCCTGGTGGTCCACTTCACCACACCGGCATCCTACATATCCCGCCCACATTCCTATACATGCGGTATAAAACTCTACCCACCAATCTTCATGCTGCATTTGGCAATTATGTCTATCTTACCTATGATACAGAATCCTTTGGCAATAAGGACATGTCATATTTTCATCTTTATACTAAGTATCTGGAAAGTTAGTACAGTTAATGTTCATGTGATCAGAACATTAACAGAAAAAGGTGAGTCGAGAACAGCTGGAATCTCACCAAACTGTATACCTAAATATGTACAGCTTTCACTCAATACCTCCATGAGAGTTTCCTACACCTCAATAAAATGGTTTTCTAAAAAATGAAAAACAAAAATAATTTTGTCTGGAGTTTGCTAAACAGTAAATAACTGATTCCAAAAAGAATGACCTGACTTCAGAATCACTGAACTTGAGGCCTTGTGGAAACTTCTAAGCCCACCTGCATTCTGGAGCACTCTAATAACCAGAGATGCAAACATGAGATTATCAACTAGCTAAGTCTAGATCAAGAAGAACAGATACCAACTGACTGAAATGACAGAGTTTAAATGTTAAATGTTTCCTTCCTTGGGTTTTAAACCTAGGAAGACACTGTAAGTTTGACATATACTCTCTCCCAGAGGCCATCAGATAAATGAAATGACTAATGTGCATATCCACACTGCCAACGCCAACTTTGTACCACTCTTCTCCTTCCGAATTTACCTCTTTCCGCTCAACTCACTCCCCATCAAATCCGCCCCCTCACTTCCTCCTCCTTCATAAGGCACTCATTTCCTCCCTACTGTTTACCACTGCCTCTGGACTTTGGAGATCTGGCTCCTTAACTGCACCATCAAAATAACAAGGAGCAAACTTGGTTTTTTTTATTGTTCTCAGAGTACCAACTGAGGCAACTGCACATTTTTTGGGCATTTAAAAAATTCTGACTTATTAATCCTGGACCATCAGCCACACTCTCATTGTCCCATTTCTCCAGAGCAGAAACGTTAAGATGGGCTGCTTAGGGTCTGGGTAGGGTTTTCAGTTCGACACAACTGACTTTTGGGGCTGGTTACTTGTTTATTGTGGGCTATCCTGTGTAAAGGGGGATATTAGCCAACTAGTGTCCTTTGAACCACTGGTACTAGGAAAGTAGTACTCTCCTCTCTCCCCTCCCAGGCATAAAAACCAACGTCTTCAGACTTCCCAAATGTTCTCAGGGTGAAAACCAATGTGTTAGGAGAAAACAGAAAGACAACATTCAGAGCTTCCCGTCCATACTGATTCTCCCTTTGTATTTTTCTGGATGTCTAAGCCTTTATGAGCCCAGGTTATAGTTAGCTTTGTTACTCCTCCTCCACTTCCAGGATAACAAATCTATTGAACAAAATTATCCCCTGAAATACCTACAGTCAGCTGAGAACGCCCACAACCACTGAGTTCTCCCAATCACATAAAGCCTGTGGAGCTGTTTGTGCAGTATTAATCACCACTAAGACTGATGCATCTGTGAAGAAAGTGTAGCAGGTACACAGGAGTCAGCCTCATTTAAAAAACTAGGCCAGGAGAGTAAATTGAAATTGGGGAATACTTTTCAACTTTTATTAATGCTATCTGCCAGTCCTGTGGCACTTTCAGAATTAACAGGAATCTGGGTCTAGTTCCAGAGAATTTTGCAGTTCAGGAGAACAGAATTATGGACAAGTACTTGCAACTAAGTATCAAAAGCCTACTGATCTACAGGGAAAGGAAAGATATTCTGGAGAGAAAACAGGCATGAAAACAGTCTGGCACGTTTGAGGAATTGTTATACATGCTGGTGGAAATGCATGGGTGTGGTTTAAAAACAAAAAAAATAGAAAGTAGTAGTTTAGGGTCAACTGAATACTTAGGGTCAGAAGTGAACAATGAGCTCAAGTGCTAAGGGAATAGCCTGAAGACTATAGATCAAAATGCCTGTGCTGAATCAAAAGCTGTATCATAAAGAACAAAGAAACAAGAAGACACACAACAGCAAAAATAAAAAGAAATTCTGCTTAATTCATAAGTGAATGCTTTATGTCTTGACATGGACGAGGGGCATGAAAATGTTTACTTCTACTCCTAGCAGTGTTTATGATCTGTAATCAGAAAAGGTAAAGTACATACGCCTGGGTTTGGCATTTGTTGAAATGATTGAGAGACGAGTACACATGGAGAAGGGAGACGACATTTTTCATGGTTAGGAAGCCAGGCTCATCTACCACTTTCTTCATGACCAAATCCATCAAAGCAACAGGTCGAAAGCCAAGGTTTTCAAATGAAATGAGGAGAAAAATAACCTTATAAAGAGAATAAAGGGAAAACTTTTTAACAAATACTATATGCTAATGTCTCTTGAGCTCAATATTTTTAAACAGCAAAAGATATGTCCTGAATGAAGCTATTCCCCAAATAGGACAGTTATCTTTTCCTCACAATCTTTTCCATTAATTCTTCAATCAGGTATCTATTTAACAAGCAATCCCTTTTCATAAGCTGAGAATCACTGCCTATGCTGATTTACATATTTTTATTTTATTTAAAAATCAATCCTCCCCTACATGCTTTCCATTTAACAGACCTGAAAATTAAATATAACTTTCTAAGTTTTTCAAAATGACCAATTCAGTTTTGAACTGTTACATCTTCCACACTTAAGACACTTCCTAGAATACAGTATATGAAATAATTCAAAATTTTCTATATACAATGTTAATTTCTACAAACAAAAATAAAGTTGAAATATTATGACTAAACTAAATTTTTCAGTTGTCCTCACATTTGGTCATCATCATCATGATTAGTACTTCTCTTTCAAAACTGAGTTTCCATGGTAAGCTCAATATTCACCCTCACCTCCAAAGCAGCATTGTTACCATTACTTCATTGTAAAAAGAAGTTTCTACTAGCCACTTCACTTAGATCTTTATATTATTAACATGGGCCCTAAATTTGAAGGTTTTACTTTGTAGGAAATAACAGACCACACAGAAACAAAAAATAGATATAACAATTAAGTGTGATATCTTATTTGTCAAAACCATAAGCCTGCCATATCATCCATCTTTATTATTTTACTTCTAACCAAAAAAGTGGAAAAACTGGAAAAAAATACTAATTATTGAACCAACATAAAACCTTTTGAAAAACTAACAGAACCTTTTGAAAAATAAAAGGAACAAACACTAGACAACATAATTTTTATCCCTGATAGGTCAAAGATTTGAAATTATCTTAACAGGTAATCCCCCCACAGAAATAATAAAGAACTAATTTTTCAAGTCAATTTAGTATTGGAATATTTTGGCATATTAAATGCTATAAAGCCAGCAGAGAAATACTTAGAATGCTTATGTATTAATGTGCTTATGAATTAGTGTAAAACTTTCTGAGGTACGTTTTAAATGTGAACATACGTACTTGCTTCAACTTCCAAATGTCAAAAGTTGTAGTCACATAATCTGCTATTCCTCTGAAAAGATGTACATTATAGTATCGGAGGTCTCTGCAAGACTGCAATATGTTGAGAAGTATTTTTAAAGGACACCCATGGATATTACCTTTAAGAATAATTAAGAACAAATTAATGAGTTAAATACACAAAAAATTACCAGAAGGTTTTGAATATATAATCCTATACTCAGTATTTTTGTTTGTTTAGAAAACAAGGCACTATATTTTAATTAATAAATGTTGGACTAAAAGGATATTTTAGAGCTAACTGCATTGAAGATATTTTTCATATAGCAGCAATGTGTTTAGATCAAACAAAACACATGTCATCCCAAACAGTGTATCAGGTACTACAAATCATGAAATTAAAAAAAAAAAAAAAATGCCCCTTACCAATGACCAGTTTACTGCATTCATTCAGAAGTACAACTGAACGGTAGTTCATGGCAGCCAGTACCTCAAACATGCGCTGGCTATTCAAAAAAGAAAATTTGTCTAATTCTCTCAAGGCTTTCATCTAAAGAAAAAATAATAATAATATAGTTTTTGGTAAAATAAATAAAAATTAACACTTTGTTCTTAAAAACTTAATTTTAAATAAAAAAGATAATGTTTGAACAAAATGACCCAGAAATTCATAAATATTTTTATATACAGAAAACTATGAATCTAGTATTGCTTCACTTTAGCAAAGTCAAACCCAGTCCGCAACAATATATCCCTTAAAAAAACTGACTTTAGGAAGTTAGAGCAAGTCAGAAGAAAGATACATATGTATTTTTAAAACATGTATTTACCTTTATTTTTGTTCTGTATTTTTTACTGTGGTAATGTTGGTTTACAACACTGTATATGATGCAGGGGTACAGGACCACACCACATGTGTCTTCCCACACCGCGTGCCCAACGCCCTCTGCATAGTACCTGGGGTCCCCTCCCTTTACCTTACCCCCATTCTATCTCAATTGTAAGGTCAGATTTCTATGATTTGTTTGGTTTAGTTTTGTTTATGCCTTCATTTCTCTTTATGTTCCATGAGAATGATTCTTTTTTCAAATTCCAACAAGCAGAGAAATTTTGGAAAGTATTTACCTCCAGTTTCTTTTTAAGAGCAACTGGTGCATCTTTCCCAATACATTTCATCACAGCTTGTAATGTAAAAACGCGTTCTATATTCCAAACTTGATGATCAACTAGGATCCTGTCATCAAACACAATAAATACCATAATCCCAAGACCTTAAAACAGGATGAAAAATCTTAAAAGTCATTTGTTCTTCCAGTTCCTACGTCTAGGCAAGGAAGATGAAGCCCGTAAAAATGCTCTACCTGCAAACAGTGTAAGTAGTTAGTGAAGGATCCAGGACCAGTTCTGGAACTATTTTCTCTCACATTATTCTGTTCTCTTTACAGATGAGCAAATTACACCAGAAGGCTGTAGTATGATATCCCGATGCATACTCAATGAGAGAGGAAATTAAATATTATTCTCACTACCTGTGACTTTAGACCTCTTGCATCAAGTTTATAAATTGATGTTGTTACTATCAAGCTCCTTTTCAAACTGGCCCAGTATCATGTGTCCACACAGTACCCAAATGATCACTATGAATTGAATACATATTAACACTGTGCGCCCTAGATTACTTTAGATTTCAATTTTACTCACATCTTTTTTTCTGGCAAACACCAAAAGAAGTATTTACAGCATTATCTTATTCAAAGTCAGGATTTAAGTTTAAGATGGTAATAAAGACTGTAGCTACCAACAAAGACTTCTTCCACCCCCCCCCCCAAAAAAAAGCTTAGCCTTCATCTCAGTTTTTATTCAAGATATAAGAACAGAGACAGCCACATGAAGAAAGTGTTTTCTCACCGTAGTCCTGCTCGAAGAACGTCCACATTCTTGCATGGCTCCATTGCCTCTAAAACAGTTGACAGAACTGAAAGACATTTCTCATCACACTCATTGATACGTTCCTATTGAAATATAATTACAAAACACTACAGATGATGAGCCTATAGTTGACTATCTCACCCAACCAATACCACGGGACTGATGCTTTCAGTAAGGATTAAGTATCAAATCAATAATTCATATAGCCAGTGCCCAATAAACAGCATCTTCGGGAAATCAATGTCATATGTAACTAATCTTTCCAAATAACTTGTGAATACTTTTTTAGATACCATTAACATTGAAAAGCCACTTGATATTGATTATATTCCTTTAATACTAAAATTATTCCTACCTCTTCTTAGGACGTAAGGTCATCATGAAGACAAGAAATACTGTGATATAAAAGCTCCAAGGCATATGGGGAAATCTGCCCAAGAATATCTGTGCCCTTTCAATTTCCTGTATTCTTTCCTGGGTATCAAACTGAAACTTCAGCAACTTCACATCTACTATCACATTTTACCCCACTCTCTAGGTCTTATGGGGAGCCCCAGGCTTCCCAGATCCTTGTTTTAGGTCCCTTGGGTTAGGAGGCTAATTTAGATTCCAGAAATGACAGTGGGCATAATTTGGACAGTGAGTAGTTAACAACACAGCTTACCCAGTGTTCTTTAATTTAATCACGACTAGTTTCTACATCTCATGAAGTAAGTTATGATCCCAGTTGAAAAACTTAGGCTGAAAGAGCTATGCTCCTTTGTTAAAATTACATAAAATTACAGTCACAAAGTCTCAATTCAGAATCAGCTAATGTTTAAAATGAATAATCAGATTGGAGGGAGAGGGTCTCATTCCCTTAATATCTGCTATGGAAAGGAAAAACCCCTTCGCTATATATTCAAAAGGCAAATTCAAAGACACATTTTCCTGTCATCTCTAGCTAAAATGTCTTCACCACATGCCAGCAAGTCAATGAGACACAATCACACATACAGATATTTGTACTCCAAATATCCACTACTCAGGCCTCACTGATGCAGCTGCCATGCTAATGTGAAACCTGGTTAAAATCTACTAAGATCATGACTGACCAGGTCTAGTGACTTAGTAGAATCACTTTTAAGTAACTATAGAGAGAACAGTTTACCAAATAGGGGTTGTCTATGGTTTAAACAGAACAAAAATTTTGAAAATCCATTTGTAAAAAGGTTAACAGTTAAAAACTCTCATATACCTACAACCCATTTCTTGAGTTCTACTGGATAGAATATATGTCAGATCATCCTCAGGTAATTCTTGTCTTTTAAAAAGTAAATTTACTGTGATCACACTTCCTGAGGTACCCACTCTTCAGAGGTTATGAGCTATCCTTTCCTCATCACATCAGCATTATTTCAGGGACATCAAACAGAACCCTGAAATTAAGCATGGTCCCTCCAGCCAATTTCATCCTTCTTCCAATACACTTTCCACTCCTACAGTAAAATACAAGTCTTTACATGTTGACCCTTTGCTTAAAATACTTCAGTGGACTGCCAGTGCCAGAGGGATAAATCCAAACTCCTCATACAGGCATAAAAAAGGCTGCTTATGACAGGCTGCCTGTCAGCTTCCGATCTTAACGCTCTACCCCTTCCTGTTCTCCCCAACCACAATACACGCAATTTCTTCCCCAGTTCCTCCAACAGAATCCCATCATTTTGTATTTCAGCCACACTGAACTACTTTCAGCTCCCCAAATTTTCCAGACTTTCACTTTGGGATGCTGATCAAGAAATCTCAGAATAAAACACCACTCTGCTATCCATCCTCTCACAAACTGCTGGTCATTCCCAGAACTGTTTACACAACATCTCCTATTGGGCTTGAATCTTAGTTCTACAATGGATAGCTATTTGTTAACTCACAAGCAAATATTTATAAATGCCTACAACTAAATTAACAGATATATGATCCTGGGCAAATTATTTAGCCTCCAAAAGCTTCCATTTCCTAATTAGTGAATGAGAATAACAATACCTGTTTTAAAAGGCTTAAGATTACAGAAGGCAATTTTGTTTGCAAACTTGTACAGAGATCTACTTCAAACACTGATCCTATCTCCTTCTCCATCATCTCTTCCCATCATGGTGACCTTCTTCTGACTAGCCTTGAAATCCTTTGAAAATTATATTTTTCTTTCATTGAAAGCGCCACATGGTCGCTATTTGTTAACAATTGCATACCCTGTATTCAGCACAGTGCCTGTAACATTTTAAATGCATGCTATGTAGTGAAAATACTGCTGCCTACAAAAGATGTCTTCCCTTCAACATGATAAAGGCAGGAATCAAGTCTTCTATTTACTTATATCCCTAGTGATAAGTTCAACTCTGATAGTTGACACCCAATAAATGTGTACAGTCTGCACAAATCTATTAACTGAGTGTCTTTAGCCATCTTGTTTAATCACTAAGTTCATTTTATCATCTGCAAAACTGAGATAACATCAACCTTGTGGGTTCTAAAGAGGATTAAATACAATTAAGTGAGAAATCTAAGTACTTAATAAATTAGCTCCCTTTCCTTCCCTTTTCTCCTTCCTTCAACTACATATCTTTACCATGTATATTTTTAATCTGTCCTCACTTTCATTTATTCAAGGCCACTCAACCCTGGAGAAAAAAAAAATGGGGCAGGTTTTCACAAATTTCCATAGTTAAAGAAGTAAAACATCTAACTAACATAGTCTCCACATTATATATATGCAGAAACAATTATAAAGGAAACTACCAAACCACTGATCGTCCCTTTGAAGGAGACTACTTCTCTCATTTTTTCAAGATAAGCCAGTTTGAGTTAAAGAGTAGTTAAGTTCCTTTTGATTTTACCTGGGCCACCCTCAGCAAAGTCTGTACCAAGAGAGTGTTCTGAGGGATTCCAAGCCTCACTATAGCATGAAAACTGAACATCAGATGGTCATAGTGCATGATCTTGGCTTCTCTCATCATCTGTTCACACAGCTGTTTAAACGCAGGGTGGTTAAACATCAGTTGTTTTTCAAAGCGCTTCTGGTCATTGGACATCCTTTTGGCAATGGTCCACATTGCTGAGAAATAGTTACTAGTAGGAAATGTAGGTGCTTCTGAAAATGTATCTAACACATCACTAAGGGAATTACAGTCCTGACACAGTTTTGTAATGGTAACAGTGGTTGATCGTGATTCCTTAAGGAGAACATCTTTATCAGCGGTTTCTTGATGCAGATTTATTTTCTTCAATTCTTCATCAGAGACAAGAGAGTGCTTTGAGTCAACCGACAGTTTTCTCGGACAAAGAAGCCTCTCAGCTGAACGGGCTGGTAAAGTTCGTATACCCTTTGTTTGAAAATCATCATCTGTTTCAAATATTAAGGCATACTGAAAAAGATACCTCATAGATGACAGCCTGCTGCTATCCCAGGTATTTAACAGAAGATTTCTTAGATTCCAGCTTGAATTAATGATTTTTTGTCTGCAAAGTCCCAAAGAATACAGTCTCACCGTTTTGCTTTTTGGAACTAAAGTACTAAATTGTCTGAGATTCCATAAAAAGGAACCTGCTCTGTTATTCATTTTGATATCCTCTGTGACTTTCAAACGTTGTCAGTATTTCACAAACGTTGCTTCTACTAGTGAGAGACAACACATACCATCATTTTCCTGTATGGGAAAGGGTTGTGAAAGAAATAAAAATTACAGAAAAACTTCTACTTAAATATGTAACATGCACTTAACGGAGACTAAAATGAGGACCTATGGAAACTTTAAAGATTATATTAAAATTTCTATTTTTAATATGGGCTTCTTCCTCTCCCATCACAATATGTACACTATTTGAAAGAAGACAGGTTACTATAGAAGTAATCTTTACATAAAACAATTTAAAATAAGAGGATTTCTAGTAGGAGTAAGTTTAACAAAGCTTCCTCGGCCAGAGGGAATTTACATTAGCATTGCCTAGGGAATGCCTTTCATGAAAATTAAGGGTTTAAAGTTGATGAATACTTTCAACTTGGGGGTTTAACAAGGGTCGAACCTGACAGTTTTTAAAAAGGTGGGGGGGGGGGAGGAACTGGGCAAGAAAGGCTCGGAGAAAGCAGCAAACGAAAGCGATACGTATTGGCAGGTGGAAACAAAGACCATTCGTCACCGGGACCTATGTAAGGAACCCGTCCTTTCGGAGCTAAGTCGCCCCGTATTAACCCACCTCTCTAAATACGTGTTCCGAAAATAGAAGTCTGAGGAATTACAACAACACCCATTACGACTCTTGCTACCCTTCACTCACCTTACGGCAGAACCCCATGCTTATATACGGGCGCGGCCATACTAACTTCCCCGCGAACTGAGATATCGCGAGAGCTACGGATAGTTTCAGAGGTCAAAAAGTATGCGTTCGCGGCAGCATTTATTCTTGAAGAGCCTGCCTGTCAAGGAAAATGACTTGCTTTCTTACCCGCAGGGAAATAAACGTAAAAGAGTACAGGGCTTTTACAGGGCATGTTCTATATGGTGTACCCCAACTCTTAACCCACCTCTCCCACTAGACAACAGACCCTGTAGACTGCCCCCATCCCCACCCCAAGTTCAACTTCAGCGTACGCCTGCGCGGCGACTTCGGCGTGGTTGCCAGGAGACCGTGAAGCCGCGGTTCTTGCCCAGGTTGCTGTTTCCCCATGGCCAAGTTCGTGCTCGCGGGTGAGTGATCCCGGCATCCACACTCAGATCGCTCAAAACACCGACAGTTGCTCGCCTCCTATATTTCCTCCACAGTGATCTTCTTAATTGAATCTGTTGTAGCAACTCCAACTTCTATAGGAACCACCCCACGCTTTCTTGTGCGCGCATTCAAAGATGTTACCAGGGAGGGATCCAGTGCAAAGCACTGCAGCGGGACAGTGGGGATACAGTGGGAGGAAATACACGCCCTGCCTTGAAGGAGCATGTAAAGAAGTAATTCTGTTACAGTGAGATTTTGGCAATAAGACAATCAAGCATGAAACTTTGGGAGATATTACAGAAACTAATTGTGAAGTTTGGACATATAGACAAAGAGACTAGAAATCTCCTGGCCTAAGGGGAAAGTCTGGTGTGGAGGAAGTGGCTGGGCCTGGGGCTGAACAGGAGCAGACTCCAGATCCTTACCGCTCAAGTACACCAACCAGCAATCTTTGAACTGTATCTTGAAAGTAATAAGGAGTCACTGAAAAATGATCAAGGTGGAGAGTATCCTTAATGGGATTGCATATTAGAAAGTCTACCTTGTCAACAACTGAAGATGTGACTGGCATCTAGAAAACCATTAAAGAGGCTTTTACTACTACAGTTTACTGTCCTTCTTCCTGTCTCAGCAATTCTTTGTAAGCATAGGCTGCTTTTCCCTCTCCGGCTTCTCTTTCCACTCAATCTAGCTTTTATTTCTGCCTCCTTAAAGAAACGACACACCTGAGTTCCCAGTGACCGCTACAGAAGCTATTCGGTCCTTAATCTTATTCCTCTTGTCTCTTAACCACTTTGATACATTAATGGAATTGACAGCTCACATCTGACTGGGACTCCATTTTCCTTTCTGTTTTCATCCTGAGCACTGATTGTCTGTATTCCAGTAAGACAGTGGTAAAGAAACTTACAATGAACATTATGTTTGTAGCTGTGGTAGGGCAGGATTCTGTAGGAGCAGTGGAAGGGGCAAGGGATCTTATTTATAAATTGAGGGTTTCTCGGAAGGAGTGATTTCTAAGCAGAGATCTGAAAGATGATGAAAAGTTACCTAGCAGGAAGGAGGACAATGACATAGGCATAGTTAGTATGGAGGTTAGAATAAGGAGAACTAGTGTGATCATAATGCTTGAGCATACACAATAACCAGACCATTGAATAGATTTAGTGGGGTTGGAGCAAAGAGGATAAGGAAGAGTGTCATAGACTGAAACCAGAGCTAAATGTAGATTCTTGTGATACATATTCAGTATTTTAGACTTTATCCAAAATACATCAAAGGTTCTTGGAAGGAGAGAAAATAATCAAATTTGTATTTTATCTGAGTGTGATCAGTGCAATGTGAAGAGAGAAAGACTGGATGTGAAGAGATTGGATATGAAGAGACTGGTTAGGAAACTGGTACTATGATCCAGGAAGGAAGTAATAGTGCCATGACCTAGCATAGTAAGCAGTGGAAATGGAAAGAAGTAAGTGAATTGGAGAGGCAGAATCTACAAAACTAGATGTCTGAATAGGTGGGGAAAGGCAAGTTAGTGAGAAGAGTAAATTACTCCCATTGGTTTGGATAGCAGGGTAGATGGGGAACCACTGAATAAAAGTAGACTTATACTCTGGAAACTGTTAATACTTGGAAACCTTTCGATAACAGGGTAGAGGGACATAGGAGAGAACATAAGAGAAGAAACAGACTTAGTGAAGCGTGGTGAAATCTGTCATCGACATGCTGAGTGCCTGTGAGACATTCAGGAGACGAAAAAATATAGGAAGTTGTAGGTCTTAAGATAAGGAATTCAGTCTGAACTGGAAATGCAGATTGCTATTTGTACCAACAGAGTAGAGGAGATTCACTAGGAAGAATATGCAGGGTATAAAAATGAGTTACCTTGCAGAATGCTAGCATTTAAGTGGACTGTTAAGGATTAGGAACCTACAACGTATAGTGAGAAATGGCCAGCAAAATAGGAAGAAAATCTGAAGAATGCCCCCACCATAATGGTATTTCAAAAAGGCAAAAGGGGGGGCCAAGAAAATAAGGATCAAAAGTTTTGATTGGATTTTGTGGGATGAAAGTCTAGATCTTCGAGAGAATTTTGGAAAAGCCAGATTGCAGAATGAAAAATAAATGAAAGTAAAGAAGGAAGGGCCAATGTAGGAAATGCTTTTTAGTAGCAAAAGGCAAGTGGAAGTTCACAATTAGAAGGGGGTATGGTCTTTGGGTTTTAAAGACAAAAGAAACTGAAATAACGAGTGTATTTCAATACGATGGAAAGAGCCTCTAGAAATAGAGAAAAGATGCTGGAAGAGGGATCATCAATGGAGCAGCATTGGTGGCAATTCTAGAGTCAGATGGGTGACAGGCAGAGCATAAATTGTGAGATGAAACCTAGCCTGAAATAGGATCTCACTTCTGTTGAATAAGAAAAAGAAGGAAAGGATAATACAAAAGCAGGTGTGGTGGCAAGAGATTAGGGGATTCCCAGCTAGTGCTTTCTGTATCTATTTTTTGTTTGTGTGTAAAAAGAAAACTTGCCTATTGTCTTTTGATAGTGAGGGGATGTTGGAGAGAAGGAAGAAGTTTGAAGGAAGTGGACACGGTTTAGAACCATAATTGTGTCGAAGAGCTGTGAGTGCTAATAAGAGAAACGGGTCTATGGCAGAGTTGATGCACCAGTAAAATTGTAATGGTGCCTTTCTGCTTGGTTCTACCATGTTTTCCCATGATGTCTAGCAGATAGGACTCAGAAATAGAGAAGTCAGATAATTAGGTTCTTCTAGTGGGAGTTTCTTTACCAAACTGATTTCCCAGCAGTATTGTGGGGTATGATAATTTTAGAGATAATTTAAGACATGGTGTGAATTCATGATCCATGGGTTCAAATTATCCTGGGAGACAAATAGGTGCAGGTTGAAGTGGCTGATGACCTAGAGGTCACCATGTTGCTGAAGAATTGGTGATGGGAGTACCTTGGGAAGCCCGCAGGGTCTTTGCACTTGGGCCTTGCTTCTCCACTCTACCAGAAATCTAGTCCCATCCACTTCGGTGGCTTTAACGTCCTGTGTGTTGATGGCTGCAAAATCTGCATCTTGAGCCTTTACCTGGAGCCTGCACTTCAGACTTAGGTTTTCTAGATACCTCCAGCAGCGCATGTCTGTAATTAAACTTCTCACCCATGATTTCGCTCTAATAAAGTTAGCATCAGATGGAGCAGGAAGGGATCATCCTCGGTGCAATAAGCCAGAAAGAAAAATAAAAATGCTGGATGGTTTCACTCATAGCAGGAGAGTAAGGAACCAGGGCGAGGGCAAAGAGAGAGACAAGCAAATGTAATAAAGTAAAAATGAAAATAATGAACAACTTTAAACCAGAGACATGTTATGGTGTGGAGAGGGGAATGGGATCAGAACTGGGGTGGGAAGAGTGCGCAGGACTGTGATGACAGCACATGGGTGAATTAGTGGTGGGAGCCCTTAGGGATTGCAACTGAGATGAAAAAATGCACAAGATGAAGAATGATGTAAAAAATGGGTAAAGTAAAATAAAAAAAAAGTCAGGATCATCTGCCCAAGCCAGAAAGCACAAGTTGTCCCAGATGCTTTCTCACCCTCAACTTCTTCCCCCCATACGCCCGCCACACATTTCAAGTCCACGTGTGATTCTACCACCACTCCTCACTTCACACTGTCTTTAGTGGCCACTAATAACAGTGCCTTGCTAGGAGTTCATGCTAAATCAGTAACAGGACAGCCTTGCAGAGGAAGTGAGGTCTAGCATGGTATTGGAGGACAGTAAATACTCAATAGTCTTTTTCTTGTCTTTCTCTATTTTATTACCAGAGATTGAGCCCCTAGAAAATTTATTTTATTTCTATCAGTGTAATAAAAATCAGAAGTGCATGTGGTGTCAACTAATACTGTAAATTTATGTAACAAAGTATGTAGCATAACTGTATGATTAATTCTACAAGCATGCGACAAATTCTTTAAAAAATTACTAATTTGAACTCTTTTAGGTAGCGCAGACTGCCCATATTATGCTAAAGCAGAACTTCTGGCAGACTATTTACACATGAATCTTCCTGATTTTCGGGTACATAAAATTATACAACATCCTCATGTTTGGGAGGTAAGAAGACTTTACACATTTTAAATTCACACATGTACAAAAATATGGTGTAACGTTATTAAATAGTAGCTAATGTATCAGATAGGCTTGTAATAACCAATGTTCACATGCTGCAGATATGTTAATACTAATAAAATATATCTCTACTATCAGTCTGGAAATATTATTTCTTCCTAAAACCTAGCAGAACAAATGAGAACCTGAGCAAGTGGAAATTTGATTCCCCTTCTCCCACCTGAACTTACAATGCACTTTAGCTTTTCGTTCTCCTTCAGGATTGATTTCTAAAGACATGAGGCACTGGTTTCATTGGAGTTCCCTTCCTTGGGACTCTGCACAGAAACAGACTGAAATGGAGATGTGGGTGAAGGGGTTTTCTTTACTATGAAATGCTCTTGGGAACAACATCCTGGAAAGGAATAAGAGCAGCAGGACTGAGCCACAGAGCCACCAAGCTGAATGGGAGAACAGTTGTGCCAGACCCCTCAGCCCATCCTCCAGGGAACTCAAGCTGACATGGCCTTTCAGAGATACCCCAAACACAGAGATCCCCACAGTTAACAGTAGAAGATGCAGGCTGCTCCTGGGGAAGAGATTTAGCCTTGGGCAACGGAAACTCCTTTGAGGTAAGTTCCTGCAGAGACACTCAGCCCGGGCCCTGAGGAGCCAGTACACCCAGAGTCATGTGAGTGCCTTAGTCACCAAGGGGAACTGGAACTATTTGTCAGAAAAGTCATAACGCGGTTTTGCATAGAAAAATTATGTCATTACATTTCCAACAACCCAATACATGTGACAGGATCTGCTGGGTTCACCAATTGTGTTTTTTGGATGCACATGCTCCCTATAATAAATTCATTCATCTTGGAACAACTCCTCCAGGATTTCAGTTGGCATCCTTCCCTGCTTGATTTACAAAAAGTTAATCAGATGCACATCATTTCAGAACCTGAACTGGCACTCATCACCTTTCTTCTCTACCTTCCAATATACAGTCCCCTCCCCTTCTACTGAGCTGACTTACTTGATGGGGTGACTGCACCTGCATCCTTGTAGGTCTCAGAGCTAATCTCTACACCTTTTTCAGGATGCTACTTTTGTCCATTTACTAACAAAATTAAGCAGTCCCCAAAGTGCCCTGATGGGTCACCTAGATGCCAAGTGGTGTCTCCTGCTCACATTGGGAAGTAGTTGACCTTATGATCCTCGGGGCCAATTCGTTCACTCAGTGTAGTAACCCCAGTGACTCCTTGCCTCCTCGTTTCTTGGCACAGGAGAACAACATGACTAAGTGGCAGTCACAGTTTAAGGTTTGATATTTCTTCCTTCTAGAACCCCCCTCCACCCAGCCACCCCTGCCCTTCTACCCACACCCCCTCCCATGCAGGTGTAAGCTCATACAAACACACACACACACACACACACACACACACACATTTAGAACCTTCAGACCCACAGTCTAGAGTGAGGGAATTTTCAGGAGCACACATTTCCCCATGTAGGTTACAAGAGTGATGATAAACTGAATCACTCTTAATTCCACCCCTTGCTTTCTGGATTTATGTTTTGAGGTGAAACATTATATTGGTTTATGGTGTATTTTGCATTGATGTTCTATCAAGACGTCACTCTCTGAGCAGGTGCCTGGGCCTTCAGTGGGCTCTCTCCTCCATAGGGCTGTTAAGTGGTGCAATAGGTCATGAGGCCAGTGGCATCCATGGTTATGTGCCCAGTGCTTCTGCCCAAAGTGGCCCCCTTGAAGTGATGTTAAACAGTCCTGTAGATATTCTTGAACAGGGTACTTGAGCACTCTATGAAAACAGGAAAGGCGATTCTTTACCCAGGATATAAACTGGTATATTTATATTATGCAATTATATATATTCTATGATATCTAATTATAAATTATATATAATATAAATATTTATTTATGCACGCACACACACATCAGTGCAATCCTCATCACTTTGCTGAACACAGTATTTTCTGGACTCAGGTTTCCAGCCCTCCACAGCAACACATCTGCTCCAGCTGCCATTTTACCAGCTTTTGGTGCCTTCTTCCATGGAAGTTCCCACATTGTTCTTTCATTTAACGTGTTCCATCACTTTCTCCAGGCTTTTGAACATCGTCCTAACAACATGATGTCACTGTATTCTGAGGTCCTTCCAAAGGTTGCTCTCTGGAGCTGCAGAAGTGATTCATATCAATAATTCTCTTTTACCCAACTTTCTGGACCCTCAGAGTCTAACCCTAAATTATTTTCCCTGCTCCCGCCAGGACATAGCACACCCACATAATTTGTGCTGAAGGTCCTTGGGGGTAGAGTCCCTTTTCTCCACAGGCCAACATCATCACCTGTGACCACAGGTATGTGGTGACACCTCACAGCAACCCCCACTGCCTTGTGGTGTTTAACATCACTTCAAGGGGGCCACTTTGGACAGAAGCACTGGGCAACCATGAATGCCACTGGCCTTATCATCTGCTGCACCACTTAACAGCCTTACGGAGGAGAGAGCCCACTGAAGGTACAGGCGCCTGCTTGGAGAGTGACATCTCGATAGAGCATCAAGGCTTAGGGACCTTCCAGTGCAGTCAGGGAAATTCCTTACCATGATTTTATTTGTAAGGCAGCCTCATTACATATGCCCTCAAAGACAAGAATGTTATTATGTACAGCACCCCGAAGAAGAATGTTTCTCTGTGTCTTGTGTCATTGGAAAGCCCCATTTCCACAAGCCAGGTAATCATCATTTGAACTTTTTCTAATTAACATGATCAGAAATCTCCCAATAACTCCTAGCACATTGATTCAGTCAGAAATAAGTTACTGTATACACGCACATTTGGAGAGCAGTATCAAATGTATAAAAGCCAAGCACGGAAATATCTCATACACAAGGAAGTTGAATTAAGTTGAATAGTTTGGGTATCAGTTGAGATGGAAGATTTGGGGCCAAGTATCCTCAGCTAGGGAGAAAATTTCAGTACTTTTATTTGATCAAGGAATTTGAAGAATATTCTTTCTTATTTGTTTAATTTACTATTTAATATATTTCTATTTTCTATATTTCATTTTACAGCTTAAAATACCTAATTTTTTAAATTGTATATACACAATGGAATTAAAAACACGCTAGTATTTTTGTGTTTGTTTTCTTGACATTTGAACTGAATCCTGAGGGAGATTTCATGTATGACTTCCTTTGGAATTATCATTGACTAGGATTGGCTGAAAGATCTGTGTGAAAAGAACAAGTGGAATCACAAAAATTCCCCCATCATCTGGAGAGAGCTGTTGGATCGTGGTGGAAAGGGTTTGCTTTTGGGAGGATACAATGAATTCCTGGAGCATGCCCAGGTATGTATATGAACTGATCTGTTCAAAATATTATCATTTTCTCACATTAGTTTATTTTTCAAATGCCTTACTTTCTAAGGTATTCTCTTAGCTTGCTTTTCACGCTATTCTTAAATAAGAACTTTCATTATAGCCATTGTCAGTTAATTATTTCATCCCTTGTATTGTCTTTTTTCTTTCCAATAACTTAGCTCTACTATAGTGTCACCTCTGGCATGACGACTGAGCTGATGAAAAAAATTGCTAAAGAGAACCTTGTAACGTATAAAGAACTAGAGCTGGAGAAAGAAGCCCTGAAATGTCTTGTCAGCCCCTTGCGGGTCTGGATCACCAGGTGGGACAGTTCAACCTGGGACATAAAGTCTCTTGTATGTAGAAAGTACAATGAGATATGATTTCATGATGGAAAAATATGCATGTATGTTTGTGTATATGTGTTTATGGTTAGACAGTGATAACTTTGTGTGTGTGTGGAGAGATAGATAGTAGATAAAAAGATAATAGATAGATAGATAGAAGATAGATTATTAGATAGATCCCAATATAGCTCCATATATGGGTTTTAAGTCATATATTGATTTAATACAATGTGTGTGTATATATGCATATATATATATATACATGTACATATATGCACATGTTAAAATTATACACATATGAAATCTAAGAGTAATTTTATAACAAAGATATTTGCTTTGCATAACTGTTTCCAGCTCTGGTTCCATCTGTCTCTTGTGTCATTGGCTACTTTTATTCTTGCTCTGTCCTTCCCTCCCACCTACTCCCCAACCTTACAGATTCTTAACCACTTGCTAGAACTGTCCCTGCTCTTCCTGAAGCGCACAACCCTACTCTCTGCGCACAACCCCATTCCCTTGCTCTGTACACTTTTTCTCCTCGCTTTGCCCCTCATTGCTCTCGCTCCCGGCACCTGCGGGCTTCCACATCACTTTTTCTCCTGTCTTACTCTCTCTCACTCTCGCCACCACCTGCTTCTTGCCCTGCTCTATTTCTTCTTCCTCCTTGTCTTTCCCTACCCTGCACAATCTGTCCTTCACACTGTTCTCACTTGACTTGTGTGCGTCCTGATATACACACACCTTTGAAAATTTATTTATTATTATGAAATATTCTAAATACAGAGGAAAAACTGAGAATGATGTAACAAACATATTTGAATCTAACACCCAGATTTAGTAAATATGACACCTGCTTGAGTTTTTTTTTTTTTTTTTGTAAAGGATTAAACTCATAGATACTGTTGAAACTCCTAGTTACCACTACCCAAACCTATGAAAATTAAAAATGCCCGTTTGCTTTTCTGAACTCCCCTCAAGGGTCATTAAAGCTGTCAGCTGATGACCACAGTTCTGGACTCTGTAACCACACCTATAAGGACAGAGTACCAGCTTGTGCTGATCCTGAGATTCTTTGTAAAGCTTTGAAAAAGCTTTTTTAAATGTCATTTCTTTACAGATAAGCGTATGAAGTAAGAAAAGGCTATGGTTAAGTAGAATTTTTAAAATATTTTAAGAGAAAATATAAATATGTAACTAGAGTAATATGACACTATTTTTTTAAATTTGGCTTTCTTCATATTCAACTTGAAAAATCATAAACAATTAACATCTCTTGTTTGAGGATTGCTTTCAGGTCAGGCTAATGGGGTTAGAAATGAGGATTTCTTGTTCTGCTTTTTTTCCTCTGTGCTCTTGAGTCAAATGCCTTGGGATTTGTTAGAGGTTGATTGCATAGGATATGTATGTTGTTTTAGCTAAAACAGCATTTAAAAACATTCATTCTCCCCCTCTCTTTGTGTCTTCTTCTATTTCTCTTAACAGTGTCTTGTAGTGTTCATTATGCTGGTCTTTCACTTCCTTTGTTAAATGTATTCTTTTTGATAAACTTGTGAATGGGATTGTTTTCTTTATTTTCCTTCTAGTTTTTTTGAGTATAAGAATGATACAGATCTTTGTGTATCAATCTTTTGGCATGTCATTTGATTTACTTATTTATGGTTCCTAATAGTTTTTAGTGGAATCTTTAAGGTATTTTATGTATACCAGCGTGCCATCTGCAAATATTATTAGTTTCACTCCTTTTCCAACCTGGATTCCTTTTAAATCTTGTGCAATGAACTGGCTAAGAACTCTAACACTAAATTAAATGGAAGTGTCAAGAGTGAGCAACTTTGTCTTGTTCCTGATCTTAAAGTTGAGTATGTTCTTACTCAACATAATATCTTACACTGAATATATTAGCTATGGGTTTATTATGCTGTGGTGTATTCCTTTTACCCCCCATTTATTGAAAGTTTTATCATAAATGGGTGCTGAATCTAGTGAAATGTTTTCTCTGCATCTATTCAAAATAATCATGATTTTTAAGCTTCCTTTCATTGATGTGGTATATTATTAGTTGACTTGCATATGTTGTATAAACCTCTTATTAAATCCCACTTGGTCATGGCATGCCATTCTTTGTACATATTGTTGAAATAGGTTTGTTACTATTTTGTTGACAATTTTTGCATCTGGTTCAATAGAGATATTGGCCTATATTTTTTGTGATGTTCTTCTTTGTTCTGCTTCTGATTTCTAGCCTTAAAAATGTCTTTACAGCTATGTATGTCTATTTAAGATATTAAATCATTCCACTAAATTCACATGCAGATATGCCTGTTTGGAATAAAAGCTCACTCAAAAAAGGCAAAAGATTTAACCATTCATAATTCACGTTTACATTTTTACTAGTGCATCTACCCCTGCCTGCTACAACCTAATTCCCATCTTAACAAGCGGTGACGTGTTTGGGATGGATACGGAAATTAGCATAACTCTATTGGACAATAAGCAGGCGGAAGAAGATCTCAACATCCTTATGACAGAGATGAGGAACCTGGTGTCACCCCTCCTCCAGAGTGTCACCATCTGCACCCAAGTGGAGGAAGCCTTCCACCAGGCTCATGTGGTCATCATTCTGGAAGACAGCATTGACAAGGAGATGTATACTTTAGAAGACTACATCCGAAGCAGGGTTCCTCTGTGCAGGCTCTATGGATACCTGATTGAGAAGAATGCTCATGAGTCTGTCAGAGTTATTGTAGGAGGAAAGTCCTTTGTGAATCTTAAGGCAGTTCTGCTTATAAGATATGCCCCCACCTTGGCACACAACATTGTCGCTGTGGCACTGGGAGTGGAAGGTGAAGCCAAAGCTGTGCTGGCCAGAAAACTAAAAACAGCACCCACATGTAAGTGAACTATTACCATTTCTGTTTTTGTTCTGAAACAACATGATTGCAAAGCACTAGGAAGAACATTTACCCTCTCGGAACATTCCAGATAATTGGAATACCAAGCAAACGTCTCACTTTGTGACTAAACCACCGTGAAAATTTTTTACAGGTTTTCATGGCTAACTAATGTGTCCATCATTAACAAAAATTAATAAATACTTGACATAATCAGTCTCATATTGATTTCAAGTATTAATTTGAAAACTAACACTATAAATTTTCCATAATAGGTAAATTGATCACTGTTATTAAAAAGTTAACCAGATCCATGCTAAAGTGGCTTCCCCCAATTTCCCATGTAGGGGAACTCAAGCTTTCACAAAATATTGCTTTTTTTAAAGATCCATTTATTTGTGCATATGAGAACTGGGGTACAGGCTAGAGGCATGGAGTTAGGATTCACCTAGAGACAGAATGGGGAGCAGAACAGTCAGAGTAAAATACACTGCTGAGGGGAGCAGCTGTGAGACAGGAGAGGTCTGCCACGCCATCTGGGTCAGCTCCCTGGCTGGGGGTCGAACTCTTGCTGCAGTGGCTTTGGAAAGCCCCAGAGTGCTACACTCCAACCCACTACACCTTCACAAAATATTTCTAAAGTGCTTAGAAGAGCACCTGCTAAGTGATAAACATCTGCAAGGCCATTAAGCCTACCATTAGGACTGTAATCTTTGATGGTCTTCTGCTCCTACTAATCAACAAATTGATGGATAGAAGAATCAAATGAGGGTAACACTGGATCAGAAAAATGGGTCATCCTATTTAAAAGGGAGTGCTGTATATAAAATATTTGTCAGGTGTGACAAATCTAAGCTACGTGTGCCTTTCCAGGCAGCAGGTGCAACCGTATTTGTTGAGAATATAAGGAAGTAAAGGACTTTGCTGATCCCCTCGCACATTGTAGGAAGAACTGTATTATCCATTTCCTTACAATTCAGCCCAAGAAACACAGCCTCACGTATGGCTGTGTACAAACCAGTAGTGGCTTAACCCCAACACGAGTGCATGCCTCAGCCAAACTGATACCAGTGATTCAATAGGGAAGGAAAACGTCTTCTAATTATTTCATCTCTGTTGTCAACCTTCTATTTATGTGCAGACACGGATTGTCACAAAAGGTCTATGATACCCGATGAAAGTGTCAAAAAGAGGCAGTGTTTCAAATCTTAAAACAAGGAGGGCAGAATCATGTCAAGGGCTTTCAGCCAGAAAGTTGCTCTCCTACAGGTTGCTGATGCTATAAATTCTAAGCCCTCTGTAGGCAAAGCCCATAAATTAGTGAAAAGCAGAAAGAAGGAAAATGAAGAAGAAATGGAAAAAGGAAAAAAGAAATGTCAGATGCACAGTAACCCATGGAGCCTCGTCAGTGGGGTAGGAAGGAGAAATCAGAGCAATGGAGAGGGCTAAATAAAATGAGCTGAAATACAGAAACCAGCAGCGAGAATCATTCAGGGAAAATTCCAGATGCCAAGAGGATATTCTCAGCACATTCCCCGGGGATAGTTCATATACAACCCTGCTTCTAGGGGCAGGTTTCCTGACTTCGCTGGGAGTCTTCCCTCCCTCCCTCCTACAACATGCAGCTTATAGGGGCCAAGTGGCACCATTAGCTCTCATAGGAGTTGGGAGATGTAGGATGGACTCATCCTACTGATGAGCCATTTTTATGAACACAATAATCTCAGAGGAAGATAACTGATTACCCAAGATATATTTGGGTAACTGCCCAGTCTCTTCTCACCCTAGGCTGTCTCCTACTGTAGAGGTAAAGAAGTCATTAATTTTCACAACCCTTCTTGTAGCTAGAAGGAATTGAGACATGTTGTCTACTTGAAGTCCCTTAGGAAAGGTATTTTAATACCTAAAAAGGGAAAAGACAAAAAGAAGAAGGCTATCTGTTTTTTTCCCCTTCTGCCTACCTGTGAACACAACCCTGTGAAAGTGTGGCCTATGGTGCTATGGCAGCCACCTTAGAGCCATGAGGAGAAGACCAAAAGCATCACCCTCTGAGCTACTGAACAAGCACCAGTGTCACTGCCTATCTCAAATTGTTCTCTGAGAAAAGAAAACACTTCTAGTTAATCCAATACAGTGGGATAGCCAACAGTAATCTTACATTAGAAAGAATACGGAAAAAAATTAATCTCCACAATAGGAAGTGGTATGGCCCTCTCACTATTAATTTTTAAACCAACAAATAAGTTAATAAATCAATACAATTATTTATTTTCAATTTGGATACAACATTTCTAGAAAATCCATAATGAGAGACTCACATTCAATACCAATTACCCTTTACTTTGCTCCACTAGCATGTATTAATTTGCCCAGCAGTTGTTTACTCAGCCATTCCCCTCTAGCCTCAGAATCTTTCAAGAACTTGGGCTGATTTTCTTCTAAATCTGCCACCTACAAGTGCCTCACACAGAAGCTAATTCAATAATCTTTTGTTGACTGAGATGTTCCTTGGGGTCTTTTTATTACAACACCCTCATTCTGCAGAAAATGAAATCCACCCAGGGAGTTAAATGATTTGCTCAAATTTCGATTCCAGTATAGACTCAAGGACCCCTGTCAGAATCAAGGTAAATAAAAAGTTCTCTTCGAGGCAGAGTAATGGAGTTAGGACCAATGTAGTAACAGCATCTGAAGTAGCAGGTGGCTTCAGGGGCATTCAGGTATTTCTTGACTTGCATCAATTATATCCATGCCATTCATCAAGCACTTTGGGATTCGGCAATTAGGGATTGCTGAACCCTGATGATTAAGGCATTGGGGGTGGGCCACATCATTTGCACATTTTGCATAACTTAGGGGGAACATAAACTTAGGCTCATTTTCTAGAAGAGCATCTATCCTAAAACAAACACACAAAAACTTAGGTTGCAAGAAATTTTTTATACTAATTTTCATCATTATGCTCATTTTTAATTTCTTTTCTTCACAGGCATCAAAGATGTGATAATTTGGGGTAATATTAGTGGAAATAACTATGTTGATCTGAGAAAAGCCAGGATTTACAGATATGAAAGTGCCATTTGGGGACCTCCCCACTATTCACGCCCTATTTTAAGCTTGATTTTTGATAGGTACAGTACATTTTTGTTTATTTACTTATTTATGCATCTAAGAACTGGGGTGGAGGGGTGGAAGGGAGGTGAGAGGAGTCAGCAGAGACAGAGTGGGGAGAAGAACAGTTGGATCTACTTAGATCTATTGAAAATACACTACTGAGGGGAGCAGTGGGTGAGACAGGAGAGGTCTGCTGTGCCATGTGGGTCATCTCCCTGGCCAGAGTGGCTGATCACCCCAGTGGCTGACGACCCCTTGTGCCACCAGGGAGGCCCTGGTATGGCATATTTTTAAAGCAACGTATACTAGCAATGCTGAATAAATACATAATAGTTGTTATCTTTAAATCGTTTTAGAAATCTTTGTATAAAAATAACTTGAGATTTGTTCATACTCCTCTTTGCTTATGCTCACTACTGAAGAAACAAAACTACAGCATTTTCAACCAGTCAATCCCCATCCTAGTTGTTTGATGTTGAAATTATGAATATCCATATTTCTGATTAACTGTAAGGGGCTTACATTGAGGTTATCTGTAAAGCAAGTAAATATAAAGTGAATCTTTTTTAAAAAAAAATATTTATTTATGCATACAGAACTGGAGTACAGGCCAGAGGTGCAGGGGCAGTGAGAGGATTCACCAGAGATAGAGTGGGGAGCACAATAGGCAGGTCGACAAAGTACACTGCTGAAGGGAGCAGCGGGCAAGACAGGAGAAATCTACTGTGTCATGTGGGTCACCTCCAGGGCCTGAGCTCAAACTCGCACTGAAGTTGGTGGGGCTAGGGTCCCACAGCTTTGCAGTGCTGCACTCCAACCCACTGAACCACCAGGGAAGACCATCAAGTGAATCTTACTGAAAGGAAAGAAGAGCTGTGTACCCAAGTTGATATTAGCTGAAAGGTTTCTGACAATCAAGAATGAGGATGGCAAGCAGGCCCAGGCCCTGCTGGATGTCCTGCCCCCAAGAGGCAGAATGGAGAAGGAGTGAGGAACAGAGGCTCCCAGACCAAACCAACTGGTGGTGCTCTCCACGAGCTGTCGAGTGGGCATAGGGTCCCAGGAGCTGTCTCACCAGGGCCAGCGTGTCACCCGCTGGACTATTCCCTGACTTTAGACTTCAGTCTGTGACACCATTGTTATTCCCTAAGCCTGCCTGAATAAGTCAACATTCCATGCTACTATTTTCTTTCAAATGAAAGATACCACCAGTTTCAAAACAGCATCTAGCTTGAATAAACTCTTTGTAATGAAAGGCACTGTTCTTGCAGCCTCAGATGACTTCTCTGTGTTCCATTTTATATTAATAGTGTTCTTTAGTTTGAAACACGATAATACAAATTTCTTCTGCATTTCACTGTTTTCCAATTGGCTTTTATGAAATTGAAGAAACTGGAAGAAAGGGCACAGGAAGTCATATTTCTATTTTGTGGAGATGATTTCTTGTACTGAAATCCATAGACCCTGGTAACAGACTATTTCATTTCCATATCTTCCTCCATTGTCAAATGGTTTCTTCTTCTCCTTACAGTGAATGGGTAAACAGGGAATTTGTGGCAAATCTGAAAGAACTGACCAGCACGGGAAGACAGTTTGGAGGCATCTTAGCTGCACATAGTATAAGCACTACCCTGAAATACTGGTACCACGGCTCACCTCCTGGGGAGATTGTGTCCTTAGGAGTCTTCAGCGAAGGTAAGTCTGAATGTTCACATCCGGTAACATCTAAAGACCTCCGTCTATGCCATGTGTTCCAGCCTCCTCTGCGTCACCCCCTTGTCTACTACCTAACGCACCAGTGGTCTGGGTTTCCCACTTCCACAATCACCCGTTCACTCTCACGCCCACTCCAGCTTGCACTCAGAAATTCAACAATGTTTTGAATGTTGTGGTCTCATTGACTTATCCCCACTGTACCCCAGCTGAGAAAGCAAGGTCTTAGGTGGGCAACGGATAGAATTAGGACAGGCTTCATAAAGAAGGTAACATCCCAAGAAGCTTAGAGTTCAGGAGATCAAGTGGTGTGTAACTAGCAGACAAGGGCAGGAAAGTCCTCCTGGCCACAGAAACAAAGACAGAGGCTCGAAGAAAAGGTGTGTTAGGAGCCCAGATGTTAGGGGAGAAGGCAGCAGCTGGAATTTGGGAAACACCTATCTGTGGATATTCTCCATCCACCAGCATCAAACATACTTTTTTACAGCCTTAATGTTTTAATCAGAGGAAATTGACCATTTTTGAAAAAATGGGATGAGAGAATAGCTGATGTCCTGGGCCCTGTCAGTTCTAGCTAACGCATCCCTTCCCTTTGTGCTTCGCGTCTCCCTGTGCAAGTTCGTTTGCTCACAGATTTCAGGCCCAGCCTCTGCTGAGCTCTAGCCTGTGAGACTTCGCCACCTGGATGTCATGCTGTCACTTCAAGCCAGCATACACCACAGGAATTTACCATTTTCCTTCTCAATCTGATGCACTTAAATATCCCTTATGTTAATAAAACACCATCCTTCAGTTTGTTCCAGTGATTATTGTATAGCTTAAAGGAATCTCCTCAACCTGCAAGTCATAATTAACCTGTTTCCCCTCTGTTTACAGAGCTTAGTCCCCCATCAGAAACTATATTGTCACCTGCCTTTAGTGACGTGGTTAGTGGCACTGTGCCCTCATTAGAACAGGAAGAGCTCTGCCTGGGTGGTCTTGCTTCTCTTCACACACAAAGACTTACTGAACTGAAGTTAAGCTGCATGAACATCTCCATCATGTGAATTCAAGTCAATATAATACCTATGTCAAGGAAATAGCCTTATCTTTATTTGTAGAGACTTTAATTAATCTGTATAGGAATTCATCAATAAATAATGCAGTTCTGCGGGTGAAGGACAAGTGATCTTTACCTCCCTGAAACTACCATGTAGGTAAACCTCCACAGGTTGTCTGCCCACCAGTCTGGCTCTTTACAGATAAAGCAAACAGAGCCTCAAAAGAAGGCCTAGGACTCCCTCTGAGGAACAATCTTTCACATCCTGGTTTCTTGACTATCCTCGATTGTTTTGCCAGATTGACAACGTTTTTGGCATTAGGGTGGCAAGAATATTTTTCTTATTTGATCAAAGTACTTTAAGGGGAGGGGTCATTTATCTGACTATGGCCCAGTTAGAAATAATTATTACTAATCTTCTTATTCAGAGCACACCTATATTAGACTAGGAGCAGCAAGAAAATCACCAGCTCTCTTGTCCCCTTTCCCTTCTTGTCCTCATTCCCTAGCTGTGGAACAGCCACACTAAGCTAAGAGTAGAAGGCTAGATTAAACAGACGCCTTCAACTCTTGGCTTATCTAGGGAGGGACAAGAAAAAGTCAAGGACAGCAAACGGAATCCAGATGTGTGGAAGTGAAACTGTTAGTTTGCAAGGCAAAGCAAGAGGATCTGAACCTAGTGGGGCCGAAAGGGGGGTTGACAGGGAATAATGGTTCTTCTGTCTGAGAGGAACTGCTGACCTTGGGGAGATGCTCCATCAATGCTTCTAGAGTATTCAAGAAGGAATGCCCACAACTTCCCTCCATTGTCATCAAAGCCAGACACATGTCTATCCTTCTCCACAGTGTCACAACAGGAAGGGGTTGTTTTCTGAATGCTTTTTTTTTTAAAGATTTATTTATTCATGCATACAGAACTGGGGTACAGGCCAGAGGTGCAGGGTCAGTGAGAGGATTCACTAGAGACAGAGTGAGGAGCAGAATAGGCAGATCAATGAAGTACACTGCTGAGAGGAGCAGTGGGTGGGTCAGGAGAGGTCTGCGGTGCCATGTGGGTCACCTCCGGGATGGGGATCGAACTCATGCTGAAGTGGCCTTAGCTTCTTAGTGCTGTGCTTTAATCCACTGTGCCACCAGAGAGGGCCCTGGTTTCTGAATGCTTTTGTTTGGCTGTGCTTTGTGTCTGCTCCCTGTAGGTCAGTTTGGTATTCCTGAAGGGATCGTCTTTTCTATGCCTGTGAAATTTGAGAATGGAACCTGGGTGGTTCGTACAGATCTTGAAGACATTAAAATAAATGAACAAAAAATGACTGGAATGACAAGTGACCTGATTCAGGTACTATAAGATAAACAAGGTACTTCTATAATATCTTAACTAGATTCCCGTAGGCCCAAGGCACACGTTGGCTTTCCATGGGTTCACTCTGCAACTTATTTCTATTAGTGAGAAGGAGACAATATAAATTCGAGGAAATCAGCAGAATATTCAGTTGGTATATTAAAAGTATTTCTTGGCTATTTTAAAATCAAGAGTCAAAGTGTGTTTCTATTAAAAAAAGTAATTAAGTTAGTGATTGTGGTCATTTAATTCTCTGATTGTAAAATTTTCAACAGGAGAAACTCATTGCACTTGGAGAGATGACAGATTTTCAGGCCTATCAATCAGGTAATCTCTCAGATGTGATGTTTTAAAAAAAGAGTGTTAAGCTATTTTTTTATAGCTGAATCACTGATATAGATAACTCTAATCCATATCTTATCACTTTGAAACTAAATTACTGGCAAAATAAACTGCCAAGTTCATTGTTTCCTCTGAAATGAAATACCTCATGAATGCTAAAGTCACATCTTTGTAATGCATTTGTTAATTACCTTTATTGCAATTATTGGTTTACAGCACTGTATATTATTCAGAGGAATAGACTCCTACCACCAAAGTCTCTTGGACTTTGGGCTGAAATCAAATGTAATAGGTTCCTACCTCCCCAGATGTACACCACACCACCCCTCTACAAGGCACACATAGCCCTTCATCAGATATCACTGGCTTACTTCCCTACTTTGTTCACACCCCCACCTTGCCCTCTAGAAGTCTCAGATCCAGTCATGTGTCTAGGGTTTGTTTTGGTTTAATTTTGTCACTTGCTTTGTTTTGTTTTTCTATATTCCACATATAAGTGAAGTCATCTGGTTTTCTCCTTCTGGCTTATTTCACTTAGCATAATTCCCTCCCATTCCATCCATGTTGTTGCAAATGGCAAGAGTTGATCTTCTTTTCCAGCTGAATAGTACTCCCTCATAGATTGGTTCCAATATCCTAATTCACTCCTGTGTCATTCAGTGGCTAGGTTGCTCCCATCACTCAGCAATTGTAAGTAGCAAAGCACTAGGTTCTTGTAAATGTTGTGCATAGCATGTTTCAGCTTCCTGGGACTTTCATAACAAATTATACATACTGAATAGTTTAAAACAAAAGAAGTCAATGCTCTCATGGTCCTGGAGACTAGAAGGCTTAAATCAAAGGTCAGCATGCTGTGTGCCCTTTAAAGGCTCTAGAGAAGAATCCTTTACCTCTTCGATTCCAGGGGCAATGCTTAGTGTATCTGCAGCACTCCAATCTCTGCCTCTGTCTTCACTTATATCTTCCCTCTGGGTGTATTCATGTTTCCCGATCTCTCCTGTTAAAACACCAGTTTTAAATGCAGTTTCATTGTATTTAAGGCCTACCATATCCCATTATAACCCCATCACAACTGGATTCTATCTGCTCATATCATTCAAAATTAGGTTATATTCTCAAGTGCAAGGCTTATGCTTTTGTTGTATTTTGGGGGGGAATACAACTCAACCCAAAATACTATATATTTTAGCAACATTATTTTTCTTATTGGCATTTGTTCTAATCATAAATTTACAGGGATCTGCTATCATCTTTCTTTTGCCATAAAGAAGCCTCATCTTAAATATAAAAATAGAAACACAGAAATAAATTCATTTATGCAGAGAGCTTTAACCAAGTTTATATCCTAATGCATAAGATCTTCAATGAAAAGAACTTCAATACAATTAGTGTGCAATAGAAAGAAAAGAAGGGAAAGAATATACTTAAAATAGCTTCCAATTAGACACCCAAAGTTACACATCATCCCCTCTTCGTGAGCAAGTGCCTAGCCAAACAGCGTTTGCCAAAGCAGCACTGCTGAGGCCCAAAAGCCTGCCACAAGTGTAAGGCACCTTCTGTTGGAAAACTACAGGAAAGAGGCAGAAGAGGCCAGGCACATCTAGAAGGAAAAGAGCAAAATAAACTCAAGATAAAAGCTGCCATTGTCAGCCACCCTGTAGGTCTTTCATGTCTCTTTAAAGTGTCTCCTCCCAGGTCCTCCAACCCCCATGCATAAGTTCAAGGCTGCAAAGCAAGTGCAGCTTCTTCACGTGTGTCTTTGTTCCAGATGTCTCCTCCAGGTCTTTTTCCTTCCTCCTTCCTCTTCCTTCTTTTTTCCAGTTTTCTTTAGTTTCTCCTTACAGCTCGGCTCCACCCTTCCTTGGGTGGCACAGGGAAACTGGGCCCCTTCCTATGGATATCACATTATTACATTTAAATATCAGAATTTAGAGATCCTCTGTATGGCTTTAGGCATTTGGCAGGGAACAGCTACAAGTTCCCTTCAAGAAAATGGGCTATAAATCAGTCATTCTAAATTGGACTCCACTGGCTAGGAGTTAGTCCTAAATTTCTTGTAATATTTGCATTATAGAGGACTTCATGAAGGAAAATGACCTAATGTTATGCATATTAAGCTGTTTTCATTAACAAAGGTCAAGGTGTCTGTGTGTGTATATTTATATATGATTAATCTTCACCTTTGGATCTTGCCCCAAACACAAGAGACCAGGACGTGATCATTGAAAACAGTCAGGGAATAGAGAACTCTGCTTACTGTAATACCGATATCATCTATCACATACAAGATTTATGGAACCTTTTCTAACTTAATACTTAATTTGACTTTTAGAAAATGATGAAAAAGAAGAAAGTAACACCACACTCACCACAATTGATAACCAAGAAGATCAAAGAGCTTCAGATGGTATGTCTATCAATTGAAAGTAACGTTCCTTTTCTCCAAGACCTAACACTAAACGCTTTTCAAAAAAAAAAAAAGTTTCCTATCCCTATCTATTAGCCATAAAATGAGCAAAAAGTCTTTCATCGCCCTCATCCTGTACTGAAAAGTATAATCCTATTTAACGTCTTTTGAAGTCTTCAGAGGAAATGGCCAGGTATCTGTGGCACACCTTCCTCATGTGGTCACTGTGAGGCGGCAGGACAATAAGGAAGCTGTGGCCACCCACGTGTGTGGGCACCGAGAGAATATGGGAATGGACCGCTGAGATATGCCATGAGTGATAAAGTGCCACACAAAACAGAGCAAGACACATGGAAAAGAAAGTATTTAACAAGTAATCCAGAAATTCACAAGGGGAGGAAAGTCCTTGTTTTGTAGGAAGGAGGAAATTTAATCATAACTGGAAATTTATTTGAGGCTACAGGTAATAAAATAGGTGTTTATTTAGTCAGAAATTATGCTAGTTCATGCCCACAAGACAAAACGTTCTAGAGATCTGCTCTTAAAACAAGCATGGTTTTTTTTATTTTTTAAGATTTATTTATTCATACAGAACTGGGGTATAGGCCAGAGCACAGGGGCAATGAGAGGATTCACCAGAGACAGAGTGGGGAGCAGAACAGGCAGATCAATGAAGTCCACTGCTGAGGGGAGCAGCGGGCAGGTCAGGACAGGTCTGCCATGCCATGTGGGTCACCTCTGGGGCCAGGGATCAAACTCTCACTGAAGCAGCTGCAGCTGGCTTGCAGTGATGCACTTTAACGTGCTGCACCACCAGGGAGGGCCCACAAGCATGTTCTTAAGACTGCATTGCACACAAAAGTTTGTTAGAGTCATACTATATTTTTACTACATTTAACAAAAAAAGAACCAATGACATAAAAATAAATCAAATATTCTTACCTCGAAGCTCTCACCATCTGGAGTAGGAAATAGAAGAACAGGTTAGTCCCTGTTGAGAGGTTAAGTGATGAGATAAGAGAGGTGCAGGCTCTCACAAGGCTGCTGGAGACAGGTTTCCTGACATGCTCTGGGAGTCTAAAAGGAGGAGTAGGAATTACTCGTGTGGTTAGAGAAAAGGAGAGGTATGTAGGAACGAGATGGTAAAACTTGGACAAAGAAGACATTTGAGGCTATGAAGCCATGACCAGAAGTGTGAGCCTCAGGCAGTAGAACACTGCAGTCAGAAGACAAGAGGAGAGCTGGCCTGGAGCATGGCACCCCAACAATGGGTAAGGCTGAAAAAAACAACAGCCATCTGTCTCAGCTGAATGAGTGGTTGGGAGCTCAGCAGTGGAATTGGTAGATGGCCGGAGAAAGCGTGTGATGGAGGGGGTCAAACTCATAAACCAGATATGGTTTATCATTGATGCTATAAAGGCAAGTAAGGTTGCCTCAATTGCTGTCCAGGTGAGCATGGTGAGCTCAGTCCCTGTCACAAGGGACACGTGAGAGACTTGATGAGGTGGTATCTGTGGATGTCTGCACGGCGGCACTGCTACTCCAGGTGACCCACTGGTGTTAACAGCACTCCAGGGAGCTACTTGGACACGAGGACCCTTGTGACAGAGCAAAGTCAAAAAGGAGCAGGAGGGACCGCTCGCTTTCAGGACGGAGGAGGGAGCCCCATCACAGAGAATGCACCCCCACGTCTTCCGTCAGAGTGATTTATGTTGTCAATGAAAATTTTAGGTTCTTACAGCCTCATCTAAGTCATACTCATATGCAAACTAAAGAACTTTAGTGGTGTAAGGTAGAGAAAATGGGGTTGCTCTCAGGTTATTTGAGGGCCTATTTGCTAAATGAGTGTCAGTATCAAATAGAACATAGTGCTTTCACTGGTATGGGTTGGATGAGTCAGGAAGAAAATTGGTGGGCATGAGATCCATTTAATTACTGGCATTTTTTCCCTTGAACTAGAAGAAACTTGATAAGGAAGGTAAATAAGGTCAGATGATTTTCACCCATGAACTGGAATAGAATACAAAGGGAAAAATTAAGAAACGGATATGTAATTTTGTTGAGTTCGTTTACCTAAATATTTTCTCATCTATAAAAGGGGGATACAAATTCCACTTACTTTGAAAAGAAAGACAAGAAAATTTTATGTAAGATAAGTCAGAAAAGGGTAATTATTGTTTCATTATATATATGCACAAGAGGACATCACAGGCCACAATGTAAAATGCTTTTTTCTACTGCTAGCTTTAGTCAATATGTTTTTAAAACACTAACTTAAAGCATCTCACAGATTTTTTTTAAAAGATTTATTTATTTATGCATACAGAACTGGGGTACAGGCCAGAGGTGCAGGGGTGGTGAGAGGCTTCACCAGAGACAGAGTGGGGAGCAGAACAGGCAGATCAACAAAGTCCACTGCTGAGGGGAGCAGCGGGCAGGTCAGGAGAGGTCTGCCTCGCCATGTGGTCACCTCCGGGGCAGGCAGGGATCGAACTCATGCGAAAGTGGCTTAAGCCTCTTAGTGCTGTGCTTTAACCCGCTGCGCCACCAGGGAGGGCCTCACAGATTTATTTTTAACACAGCATGTTTTACTTAATTTTGGTT